TGGTTTCCAGGTCCAGGGTAATGATGTCCTTTGTAAGCTGCCATCAAGCCAGGGTTTATGCCAATCTACAAAGATACCAGTCAGGAATTTAAGCAAGTTACAGTAAGGATGCTTATTCAATTCTCTTTAAGTTGCTGCCAATAATCAAAACAGTTAATGGTCCCTTCCAGCATTATTTTAAAAAATGTGAAAATTGACAGTTCTATAGCAGAGTCTCATTTAGTTGTGCAACGTCAAAGCAACTGCTCACAGTGTGTTTACGGCCACTGGTGAGTGCTTCCAGTAAATAAAGTGTCAAGTAACAGTCTCTCATGACTGTATTATGTGTAAGCTTCAGATTTCTCAGAAATGAGAACTATGTTATTACAATTTTAAACAGAAAATGCAAAGCGGCTCTACACACAGGAAACAGTTCATATACTTTATCTTGCAAGATCTTGCCATATAAGCGATATAGATAGGTAGGCATGAGGAATGTAAATCATAACCAGTGAGTACAGACTATTCACTTCTCTACCTAATCTTGTAACTGTGAGCTACTTACTATTACAATGTCCAGATCAAAGGTCAAGATATCAGGTAAAGTCTTGGTCAAAAGTTCAGCTTCAGATACCCCATTAAAACGGTCCACTTTTCTTTTGACTTTAAAAGTATCTGTGATCTTTTCCTGTTTGCCTTTTGACTTGGCTGATTTTTCTTTTTTAGCAGCAGGCTTTTTAGGTTGCTTTGGCTCAGTTGCTTTGGCTTTTCTTTTCCTTCCTCCTTTTTTAACTTCTGAAACACACAACAAACACCCTTTTTGTACATTTCTAATGTTGAATGTGGATATTCGGAAAGACTGAGCTAAATGTATGGGTACCAAAAGAAATCAGACAGCTAAACTTACCTTCAAAATTCATTCACTTAAACAATTCTCTGATGAATCTCTGTTTTGCAGGCTCAACACAAAGCTAGCTTGGGTGTCTCTGTGCCACAGGCACACACACAATTCACAGGCAACTATGCTGACTTAGGATACAAACCAAGAGTAATCTCGTGACAAAGTTATGTTGTTTACACAACAATCCTGTCAAAATAGTTTCATTTCTTTTGGAGGATATGCCAGAACATTGAGGCTTAGGTTCCATGTTTGAAAGTGCAGTCAAACAGCATACCCATGGTGACATCATGTTACCTAGTAATAAAACTGCAAAAGAAGCCTATCTGCATAGGGCTGAGGTACATCCTAACTGTAGTGAATAATATCCTGACTGAATTGAGCAGTCACAACTACTGTAAACTGGAGGGTTTCTTCCTGTGATTTCATCTGGCCATATATTACAACTAAAACAACACAAACTTCTCAAAGGATGCACTTAAACAGCAATTTCATTGCATGAACTGGCTGATAGGATACCTCATACTGAGAGCTCTGACCTATATGTGAGTATTAAAAGCAAGACAAAACTCAGTGTGTGAATATTGTCTGTAGAATCAGAATTTCAGCCTGGCAGAGATCACTGCTTTGTTACATGGTAAAGAGCAAGCAAAGTCACAGAACAAAGAGTCTTCTCTTGGCACACTTACTGTAAAGCCTAAACTACTATGAAATCCTAGTGAGGGAAAAGAAAGGCAACACAGAACTGCATAAAGTACACAACCTGTGTCACCTACAGGGCACTTTCCAGCACTGTTGGTATTTGTTTAAATAAGCCTCACTAAACCCAAACAATCTTTACTGTACATAACAATTCACTGATTACTACAACACACTAAACCACCATTTAAACAAAAAATATTTCAAATAGACAGTATTATACTGTATTTCTCTTGCAGAAATTAAAAAGAAAAATATTTTGAACTCAGCCTTTAAAAAGAAAACGTCACTAACATAACATTAAACCCCATTAAATCAGCTAAAAATTATAAATTTATCTACTGATACAAGAATCTGCTTCTCCTGGTACAAGAGAATTTTGTGAAGCTGAACAATGCGAATACTATCAGTTGGGTTTACTTCTTTTCTTTTTAACTGTCTGATAAAAGAATGTTACTTAAAGACACAGTTCATCAGTACTTCCTCAGACAGCATCAAGAAAAAGAAATCCAATAGGCCCAAAGAAGCAGATTAAGACCAATAATTTTTGCACCCGACCGATCACTATCTCAGCACAGTTTAGCCAAAGTACCTTTTGGAGGCTCCTGAGCAATGTTTGGCTCTGGGATGCCCTCTAGAGTCGGCTGCTCAGTCATCATTTCCATGTTGGGCACCGCAGTCATCATCTGATGGAACGGGAATGTGTAAAATGCTTGAGCTTGCTGAAGATACGCGTAGTATCTTAGAAAGGGAGGGGAAAAAAAGACACAGTTTATAAACAACGTAGGAATGTAGTGACACACCAAATAGAGTATAAACACCAATCATTACCACGGCTGGCTTGTACTGCACTTATGTTCTCCAACAACTCTATTAACATGGCAGTAAACTATGCAAACGCACTAGGCAGTCTGACTGCTTAGCTGGTATCAGGTGATGTTAAACCCAACAGTACAGTTCTTTAGGGATTACTGTCATGTGGAAAAAACACAACATTTGTAAGCAAAGTGTAGAGCTTTTCCTTTTTTTTTTTTTTCCTGAAAAACAAACCACTCCATAACACACATTATGAAGGCAAATTGTCTATCAAAGATGCCAACAATTTACAACACAAGTGAATTAAAACTCTTTGGACTTCAAGTTTCACAAGTTTTAGATTTTCTTAATGTTATGTCAGTTACTTTATCTGATACAGCACGGAATGGATAAATCATTCTGGGCTACAAAGCACTATGAGTATATACAGCATTAGTTACTATGCAGATTATTAGAGAGCTTTAACAAATCATGTGGCAGATGTTGCCCCATTATCACATATTGAATCCCAACACTTATTCTACACAGAAGTGCTCACACACACATTCAGTCTCCTTCCATGCACAAAGACAATTTTCCATTTACAGATCTGCTCCACGCATTTATTAGTCACATACATCCCTCACACCACCACCACAAACTTCTGCTTCATACTGTCATTCCCTTCTACCTACACAGCCGCCTTCTTGTCCACAGATTCCACACCATAAAAATACATAGAAAAGATTTCATGAACAGCAGATTTTCAGGAAATAATTTTGTCATCTCTAAGCTATTATAAAGCCACCAAATAACTTTTGGATACATAGAAATTTGGCCAAGATTGGCTATTTGACTAAGAATGCCAGTAACATCCTGGCCTGTATCAGCAATAGTGGCCAGCAGGGCTGGGGCAGTGATCATCCCCCTGTACTGGGCACTGGTCAGGCTGCACCCCAAATTCTGTGTTCAGTTCTGGGCCCCTCACTACAAGAGAGACATTGAGGTGTTGGAGCAGGTCCAGAGAAGGGCAATGAAGCTGGTGAAGAGTCAGGAGCACAAGTCCTGTGAGGAATGGCTGAAGAAACTGGGGTTGTTTGGTCTGGAGAAGAGAAGGCTCAGAGGGGACCATATCCCTCTCTACAACTGCCTGAAAGGAGGTTATAGTGAGGTAGGGATTGGTCACTTCTCCCAATTAACAAGTGACAGGACAAGCTGGAACAGCCTCGTATTGCACCAGGGGATGTTTAGAGTGGACACTGGGAAATTGGGTTATCAGGCACTGGCACAGGCTGCCCAGGGCAGTGGTGGAGTCACCATGCCTGGGGGTATTTAAAAAACGTGTAAAGGTGACATACAGGGACATGGTTTAGTGGTGGACTGGGCAGCGTGAAGTTTACGATTGAACTGGATGATCTATTATGCAGTGTAACCTGGTATAGTGGAAGGTGTCCCTGCCCATGGCACGGGGGTTGGTACCAGATAATCTGTAAGGTCTGTTCCAGCCCAAACCATTCTGTGATTCTATGAATATTTAAAAATCCCACTGTAAATCAGGTTTATGCTAGAGTAGCCCACAGTCTTCTGACCAGGCCACCGATTTTGAACCAAATACCTGCCCTCAATCAAGGGCAGTAAATCTGCATGTAGGTCTGTCAGACTCCTGAGGAAACTGCCTAACAAAGTCAGGGGAGATTTTCAGAGCACATCCCCCCCCGCTGGAGGAGCTCCCTTTAACATCAAAGACTTGAACACTTACTGAACCAAACAAAATTGATATTCGGATGCCTTCTTATTTAATGCGTATATAAAGTCTCCTTGCGAGAGGAATTTCCCTTTAAATAGAGGACAATTTGTGCCCTGTCATGGACAAGTCCTCTCGACGCACAGTAATGAGATGAAAGAGAGCTTTTTACCCCTACCTCCAAGCTTCATATACATGTTTTTAGGTCATTATTCTTGCACGGCTTGAGAAGCACGATTTTTTATTATTGGTGTATACGTTATGGAACACTTAAAGAACTATTTTCACACCTCCTAGGGTCGTCTCACCCGCCTCAGCACCACCGCCCCGCACACAGGCGGGGCTCACACTGCTCCATGCCACCCGCAAACCTCCCCGCCGTGAGCACCCACTAACTTTCTTCCCTTGTTCCCACCCTCAAAAATCACCCGCACCCCCGCCTGCGGGTCCCCACCGCACGTCGGTCCCACTTCACCGACACCAGCGCCCGCGGATCCTCATCAACCCATGTCCCAGACGGGGCTCCTGCCCCGGGCGCTCCTCACCCAGGATGTACACACCCGGCATCGCGCCCCACGCTCCCCACAGCCCAACGCCTCGGGCCTCCCCACCCCGCTCCCCGTAGGGCCGCACACGGCACTAGGCCCATCCCGCCGCGCCCCCTCTCACTTAAACCCCACCGGGAGCGCGTCCCCCCCTCTCGGCGGCCTCAGGGGGAGAGGGGAACCGCCGCACCCCGGGCCCGGCTCCTCCCGGGGTAAGGAGGAAAACGAGAGCGGGGCTGCGGCCCCCGCCGGTACCTGCCCAGCTCCTGGGCCTCCATGTCCGGCGCGCAGCCTCGGCAGCCGACGGGGCTATTGTCACCGGGCGCCCCTATCCGGCGAGCCGTGCGGTTATGCCCGCCGGAGTGCCGTGGCCCACCTACTTGAAGGCGCTGACGGCCAGCCTGCTGGCCATGTTCGCGGGCGCCGAGGTGGTGCACAGGTACTACCGGCCCGACCTTGTGAGTGCCCGCGGGGCCGGCTGCGTTACGTGAGCCTGTCGGCGGGGTGGTGGGGCTCCTGGGGGAGAGGGTTTGGCCTCAGGGCGCAAAGCGGAGCAGCGGTCGGGGCGTCCCTGCGCAGCTGCCTTCCGGCTAGGGACATGGTGCTGTTAACAGGAGAGCGGAGCTGGCTGCTGCGGGGAGCCGGGGTTTGGGAACAGCGCGCAGAAGTGGCGAGAAGGGCCCATACCAGGCTTTAAACAGGCTTTCTGTTCCTCCAGGAATGGAAACGATGACCAAAGCTTTGCATTAGAAGCAATGACAGTCAAAACTGTCAACGTTACAGCCACAGAGCTCGGCTCCAACTGAGCTCAGTCACTGGGGATATCAGTGGTTAGTTTGGTCTTTCGGAGACCGTTTAGCCTGTAAGCCTGGTCTCACTCTCTTGTGCTTGTATACTTTGCTTTTTAAAAACACTGTGCTGGATTCAAGTTAGAGAAAGGTTAAAAATGACCATGCTTGAGCTGCCACATGAAAGTTTACGCAGTGAGGCTCAAGTCATTGATGTGAAAGTATTTATGTATTTTAATACTATCCACTGTGGCCTTCATAGGTGTATGTATTCAGAATGATCTAATGATCTACACTGGTTTCAAGTAGCACACATTTTGAGGAGATACAGGTCTTGAAACAGCATCTGGCATCTTTTCCTTCTTTTAAATTTCATCTCCAGTTTTGGTGCTTGAATTTCTAAAATAGAGCAATAGAAACAGTAAAACTTTTTCTTCTGTCACCAAGAACCTGTGTGGAAGCTGCAGCTGTAGTAGACATCCCAACCAAACTTACTTTCTTAAATGGCAGAAAGCTTTGTTCTTTCAAAACAAACTCTCCATTCCTTCTTTTTGTACCTTTCAAATCATTTTTGCTACTTTAAAAGTCAAATTATAAAAAAGGGTATAGGTTGACTTTTAAGATGTTTTGCGTGTAAGAATTAGTACTGTGCTCAAAAAAGAGGGCAGTGTAATCACAACTTAGCTGTAGTGCTTTCACAGAGTGTGCTGATTTACTGCTTTGTGAGTTCAGTTTCTGCCACCGTGCTGATGTCTTCCTGTTTTGAACAGAGCATCCCTGAAGTACCTCCTAAGCCTGGGGAACTGCAAACAGAACTGTTGGGTCTAAAAAGCAAGATCAAGTGATGTTCAGACTTCACAACAGCGAGCAGACTTTACTTGCGCTATGAAAACCAGAACTGATAAAACACTTGGTCAGCTGCCTCAACTGCAGAAATCTATGTGTGAAATACTGTACTCCTTTCATAATTTTTTGTTTCCTTTAAACAGTTACAGGCAGTGGTAAAAATAAATGTACAGCAAATACTGTTGTTGCAAGTCTGGTTAGTTGTATGCCAAAACACTTATGATTTCATCTTGATTGCGGTATAATGTATCCTTCAGAATAGAAGATGCAAACTCATGGTGGCAAGTCTGAGGGAATCTGAAACTTTTCAGCTGATTCACAAGCACAGGATGTTTATAATATATTGAAAACTCAGGTTTTTATGGCCTCTCATTAGCCTCAATAAGCTCTGCTGTTCATCTGCAGTAGAACCCTGCTTACCTGTTGGCATTTCCCCCTTGTAAAACTGAGTAGTACTGGATGTAACCCAGAATGTAATGCAGTGAACAACAGCAGGTACAGATCAGATTCCTTATGGCAGCACTTTTTGCACTGGCCTCTTCTTTGTGCTGGCTAACTGCCCTAACAAAGTTAACATTGGTGTTCTGTCTGTATCACTGACAGGAAATCTACTTTGGTCTGCTGTAAGGCTGGGGAGGATCTTACAACATGGTTGTGTTAAAAGGGGGTGAATACACACAGATTACACTGAAATTGTGTACAGTTGTACTCCACTGGAACATATTCCTCCATTTATGACTGACTGACAGCTGTAAATATAGTGCAGGTTTACCTTTCAGTCCTGAAATAGGATTGCCACAAAACTCCCACAACAGGAACTTGAGAAGACACACAAGGTCATAGATACAGAGTTATACAAGGACGGTACAACCTGTGCTTGAGTGGTATGCTGGTGAAGGATGGGGATTGCTTTCCTTGAGCAAGGCACATGCTCAGGTTTAACTCAGGAAAGAAAACCACAGTCTGACAAATTGCCCATTAAGGAAACAAAAAAGCTCCAAATTTCTAGTGGCAAAATACCTATACACTCTTTTAATAGCAGAGGGATACAGCAACAATCGCTGACAGGGCTACTTGTACACCTGTTACAGCTGTGAAGCTGTTAGTTTATTTGTGTTTAAAGTTGGAGTGGCTTTCCTAAGAAGAAAGGTTTGCTCCCACAGACTTCTGCGACTATTCGTTAACCTACAGAAGGAACTGAACGAGAACCTTTCCCCTTCTTATCTGCCCATACCTGCATTACTGTATGACAGGTTTGCTCTCTCACCCTTATCAGTGACTGCAGTCACTAATAAAAAGGCCCCAGAGTAAACCCCAGCTGCTAAGCCCAAAGAAATCAAGCACTGAGAACATCTTGCCAGTCCAGGGTCTTTTCTGGTGAAACTTTTCCGTTCACAGTTCCCAAGCAAAACTAAGTTGTTTTGCTGTGTCCTCAGCATAAGTTTATTGAGACAAAATTGAGTAGTTCAGCAATGTTTTGTTCCTGTTCTAACTACATCAACAACAGCAGTTTTTCAGATACCCCTTTAAAAAGCCAGGTTTCACCAACCATTATCCTGCTACTCAAGTATTTTGCAGGGTATGTCATTGTGGTGTTGATTTCTGACCTGCTTTTCTAAAGGCTGCAGAGGGAGGTTACTAATTGTGATATGCTGGGGTTTCTAAATAGATCTTGCTGCTGATGGCAAGTGAGCAACAGGGAGCATGTTTTACCCCAGCCTTCTCTAACATTAAGGGAACTGGTGCCCATTTGGAACAAAGCTGACCATGCAAGTGAGGTGACAACCCCAGAATTGGTGACTGCAGCACTGAGAGAGCCTGAGGGTGACTGGGAAACACTTCTGGCATTGACCACTTTGCTTCACAGAGCTGACCCAAAAAGCAAGCTTACAACTGCAGTTTGTGCTTATTAATAGCAAACACGTCTCAGTCCAGGGCCAAGGAAGCAGCTGGACCACTGCATATTGTACATTACAGAATCAGCTGAGGAACACAAAGTGCAAAGCACGACTCTCATGTGTGTTCTTTATTATTTCTGAAATTGGGTATGTTATCCTAAAACCAATCAAGGCAGCAAGAACTTCAGCTGCTCAAGTCTACAAGTAACAGGTTAAGAACAGTATAGCAAGCAACCCTATGCTTCCAATACACCGCTTTGTTAGCTGTGAAAACTCTCCTAACCATGCAGGAGACACATGCTGTATTTGCTACTCAGGCTGGTCAAAGGAAGGGTATGCATTGATAATATTGAGAAGTGCGTTAGTAAACTGATACTTTAGGAAGTACGAAATCAAAATCTCAGCAGCAGTTGATTACTACAGAGCACAAAAGTTGCACTGCCATAGTAAGAGAACCATGCTTTAAGAAGAAATGGTGCACGTGCCCAATAACTAGCAAAGGACTGCTGTTGAAGTCACTGTTGCTACTTAACTACACTCTAGGGGTAGAATACTGTCCACATGCCCTAACAATAAAAGGCTCTTGGGTACATCTAAGATACTACCACAGCAAGCAAAACCCAAAGCTATCCCAAACTCGCTAAAAAAAAAAACAACAAACAACAAAACCCAAAACTCAGCTCCCCTTCCTTGAACTCTCAGGCATCATACTTCAGTAAAGCCAACATCTCTGTAAAAACCTTAACGCAATAACCACACTGATACATGGCATTTGTGTTTATTGCATGGGAACAGTATTTGGGTGATACAGGAGAACCCTGGTAAAGTAAATGGAAAGCAACTCCTTCACGTCAGTGTTCAGTACCCTCACCTAATTTGGAACAGTGTATTTTGCTTCAGATTGCAGAACAGCCAACTTCACAAAACTTATGTTAACGAAGAGTGTTTCTTCAGTGAAGTCACTGTACAGAACTACTACTCCTACATAGTTCTTCCAGAGCAAGGCAAAAATACCACAAACAAAACACTTGAGCATAAACACTTTCTACCAACCACATGAAGGTGTTTCAAAGTAGAGGCACAAGTAAGAAAATGTAGTGCTTCACCCAAACACCACATAAAGCCAACATAATGAATAGAAGAAAAAGCAGTGCCTCCAGTTTAACCTGTCTACATTACCATTTGGTATCAACTGATTTAGTCTGAGTGACAGTTAAGTACCTAAAGAACTTTGTCAAGAAACACAGAACAGGAGTGAAAGTTTAGGAACAACAGCATTAAAGGAGTTAACAACTGTAAGAGATCAGTTTCTAACTTAAAAAATGTGGAAAGCGGCACTGCTGTATCTACAAGTCAAAGGCAGGGCTACCAAATACCATGGAGGACAGTGTATGCCCACAGGCAGTAAACCACTGCAGGCTGTTCATGTATTTAGTGGAAGGAAATGTCTTTTTTTGCTCCTTGTCACAGCTGTAATAATACCCCTGCCTATTCTGTAAGTGGAGTCAAGTCACACCTAGTCCAGTGCAAGCTGGCAGGACACCAGTTCCAATGCCATTTATAAATGCCCTATATCATCTTCCTTAAGATGGCAGTAGACACAGCTTCTTGAATACTTACTTCAACTATGAATTTAAAGTACAGCTCTCAACATACCACTTACATTTTGGCTAAACAGCACAGCAGGTTTGTTAAACCAAAACCTAACCACAGTTACAGTTAAGTGTGGCTGTGCCAGTGTGGACAGGCACAAGGACTGCAAACTGCCTGTTGTACAAAGGACCTGAACACTCAAGGCAATCCCTTTGTTTCTTTGTGCTAGCGCACAAGATGAATTATGTATAAATTTTAGAGTTAGTGGTGTTTGGGATCATTTTATTTTGTACATGACAAGATTTTACACCAAGTCAGTTAAATAATACAAATTTACATTCATGAGGAATGTTTTTAGAAAAGTGAACTTAAAAAAAAAAATCCTCCTTCACCCTTAAACCCCATTACCATCCCTCAACATCTTGCAGTGGAAAAAACCACAACAATCTAATTCACATTCCCTCTTTCCCTCTTAACCCCCCAATGCAGGACAGTAGTTGAGTGGAGCTTACAGTTCATCTTTCACATCTGTGGATTCCTGTGAAGACAAGAAGAGAGTAAGAATCAGTTTCTGAAGGTGGAAAAGGTTACAAAAGCTGTCCCACAAGAACTGAACCTAACTATTGCTGATGCTTTTGCAAAGCACTCATACAACTTTTTGAGGTATTAAAGTCAAACTTCTGTTCAAATGATGGCATGTTAAGACTTTGCTATCAAAAGAAAAATACTTTTTCAGTGTGCTCAAATGTAGACCTAGCAGCAGACCTAGTCATTTGTGCTGCAGGTTTTTTTCCCCCTCCAAGAAAAGCTTGGAACACCTCACAGTAAGGACTAGTGTAATGAAAGGTAAAATGAGCACCATTTGTTGCCAGGCAGCACCATGAACAAAACCACACAAATATAAGTAGGAAGTCAAACTACAGACCGTACCTTCTGTGTTTCACTGTCTTCAGCATCAGCATCAACCTCCTCTTCATCTTGCTCTGTCTCCTCAGCTGCATCTTCAGGCTCCTCAGGTTCCTCCTCCACCTGTAGGAAGGTCACAAGCAATTTGCTTTATTTGCTTAGAATACTTAGTTGTTCACTAGCTAAATACAGGCTATGGAAGTATTCACTATCAATTCCTAACACTTGTCCTAAGCTACTTGAAGGAGAAAGCAGAATCTTTTTAGCATAGACACATTAATCATGCCTCCTCTTCCAAGACACCCAGCATAAGTTCTTGCACAGCATTATGAGAACCCGTATTACTTATACCCACTTACTAATTTATCCATTATGTGACAGGCACATATGCCTTTGGCCCCTAATTTACTCCCATAGAAAAATCACTTAGTTAAGGACAATACTCAAGAAGCATCATAAGAAAGCAGAATCCCAAAGAAATATAAAAGGGTGGAAAAGAGGACAGGAGCATTGACTACAGACTCTAGTTTCCCACCCATATACTTGCACTAGGCTCCTGGTGGCCCTCTTAAGTGTAGGAAGCCAGATGCATTTCATTTTATGCAAGTCTATCAATTAGTCAATTATCAAGCCCCAAGCTGAAGACAAACTAACCTTTGCATCCAGGTCAATGTTTAAACTTAAACGAAGCATCCTTTCTATTCTGTCTCCATATTCTTTGGTGTCTGGTAACATATATCCTGATCTCAAAGTTGCAGTTTCAAACAATACCACTGCAAGATCTGAAACTGTTTTGTCGTCTTCATTTTCCTAATGCAGAAGAGCATTTAAAACAAAAAGAAAAGCAGAACTGTTAGCCGGGTTGTATGCAGCCAAGTAGTCAATATTCCACTACTGTTATTTATTTACCTTGACTCGCCTCAGCATGTCCTTGATCAGTGGATGCCTGGGATTAATTTCAAATGTCTTCTTTTGGCTAGCATAGTAACTGAAAAGAACAGAAGTACATTAGTAAATTTTCAAGTACAGGACCCAGCTACATCTTTAAACCCCTGAATACCAATTACAGCCACAGTAAGCATATTCCTCCCCCTGCTCCACTTTAATAGTAGCTCAACTCTAAAAAAGCATTCCGATTACTAAGAAACTTCATCTTTTGTCACAAAGTTACAGATATAGCAAATGCCACTGATGAGTCTTGCTCACAAGGCAGTTTCACATATTTGGCTTCAAAATATGCAGGTAAGACTATGAGGGAGACCACAACTCCGTTGTAAGCGACCTTAAAAATATGAAGGATCATCTAAACTAGATGGAAGCTTGTTGTGCCCACACTAAGCACGGGAGGTCAACTACAGTTCATGTCTACTGCTATGTAACCGAAAGCTTACTTTGTAGATATATCTTTCCCAGTTTGGTAAGCCTGAGCCTTCATGATTCTTTCCATGTTACCAGACCATCCATACTGACTAGCCACAAGAGCACAGGGAGACTGGGTTAAACGTTGAGATAGCACAGCTTTTTCGATCTGTAGGAAAAAAACCCAGCTTTAATGTTAGTTCACAGAACTAGTAGCTTATACAGGGACTAAAGGAGGTTAACTCAGAGCCTTCAGAAAATGCTGATATTTCAAAAGATGACATTCTAATCCTTATTTTCTTGAAATAAACACGATCAAACATGTATTTATTCATAAAAAGAAAGGCCACTCTCAAGTGGCCTCTTACAACTAAGCATTACATACAACGTAACATTTTACCTTGTCTTTTAGAGCTTTGTCCTTCATCCAGTTTAAGAGCGGTTCAAATTCCTTTTCCAAGGCTTCCCGACTCTCCTTAGACTTCTCACTTTCTTCAAACTTAACTCCTTCTTTAGCTACATTCTGAAACCTCTTGCCATCAAATTCTGGCAGAGCCTGAATACAGTATTCATCTACTGGTTCAGTAAGATAAATCACTTCATAACCCTTTTTCAGAAGGCGTTCAACAAATGGTGAAGACTCAGCCTAAGACAAAAAAAAAAAAATAGATCAGATGCCAGTTTAATTGCACTGGTACCAGCAGCTTCTGATGCCTGTACAGCTATTTGACAGAAGCTGGTACAAGGAAAACTGAACTGCAGTAGTAACACATGCATGGAGTGTTCGCATTTACAGAGAATGCAGAGTTCACAATGTTCATGGTACTACTGTAGCTAGAAGCTGTATTATTTTTTCCTTTCCTTCTTCCACATTCACATACCTCCTTCCTGCTGGCACCTGCCATGAAGTAAATTTTATCTTGCTTCTCTTTCATTCTTTCCACATACTGGTCAAGGCTTGTGAGGTTGCTTTCATGATGAGAAGACTGGAAGCGAAGAAGTTTAGCCAGTCGTGTACGATTGGAGTGATCCTCAATAACTCCAAGCTTTACATTAGTACCAAACTCTTTCCAGAATGTGTCATTGTATTTTTCTTCAGCAATTTTCTTTATCATGTCAAGAGTTTTGCGAACAAGTTTTTTTCTGATCACCTAAAAAAGCAGCAATACCAAGTTACAACAATAAGCACTTGGAAGAACCCTCACTCAATTCACCCTACTGCAACAAATGGATTCAAGACACTTGGTGTCCCCAGTTTGAAGCAAACACAAAGAGTTTGAAACCAGCAATTTGTGGGTTTCCTATACTTTACTTTATATACATTATAACATAAAATCAATCAAGCCATCATTCTTCTAAATCTTTGTCATGTTACAATGAAAGAATGCAAGATCAATTAGCTTACCTTTAACAATTTATGCTGCTGAAGTGTTTCACGAGATACATTCAAAGGAAGATCATCAGAATCCACCTAATTGAGGAAAAAGCTTTGTAAGTATAGCTAACAGTAGCTGAAGACAGAAAAAAATAATAAAATGCAAGTAAGACTCGTGATACTTACAACACCCTTAACGAAGTTAAGATACTTGGGCATCATGTCATGGAAGTCATCAGTGATGAACACTCTTCGAACATACAGCTGAATTACAGGAGGAAACAGTAGCCAGGTTAAAGTTTCATGGTTTTTAAGACATGAAAACATACCCACACGCTTGCTTATCCTACCTTAATGAAATCACTTTTTTTGGATCCATATTCATCAAACAGGCCACGTGGAGCAGAATTAGGAACAAACAAGATAGATTTGAAAGTTACTTCCCCTTCAGCAGTGAAGTGGATGTAAGCCATTGGGTCATCGTGTTCCTGTGAAGACAGAATTCTTATAGTTGATATGGGAAAAATCAGAGTTAATACATTTCCAGGAAAAACAAAAGTCTGCCAAATAAGTGCAATTATTTCACAATTAACCTATCTAGCAATAGTATGGTTATTATGGACACAGAAAGTTCCAGATTAGCGGAGTTACTCACATAGCACTAACCTTCCGCAAGACATAGGTTTTTATTTCTTGCCCTTTTTTTTCTTAGCTTGTTAAGTTTTAACAAGCCAACCACCAACAGCACAGTAACCAATACAGTATTATCACAGCAGATAAGAGACTCCCAAGGCAGCATTACATCACATTTACACATACACATCATTTCTAGAAAGCTGTATCTCTTTCTTCTGTCATGTACAACACAAACACTACCACTCTCAGACTGAATAAGAATTTCACTGTCAGCATTTGAAAGGATTGGTAAGCTCCATATGAGCTAGAACATACTACTTCTTAAACCTAAGCCACTCAACACTTGGGTGGGTAGTACCATGTCTCTGGAAAGAATATTAACTCCTGACTCAAATGCTGTTCCCTCCTAGGCACTCCACAATTCAGTCTACCTACTGACAGCAGTTACTTCTTCAGAAATAGCTCATCCTGTAAGCCTTCAGTTTTGTTTATACTTTGGAACAATCTTGAGGCTCAGAGCTTACCTTGGAAAAGGTTTTGTAAAAAGCTTTGTATTCATCTTCTTCAACTTCTTTAGACGGTCTCTGCCAGATTGGTTTTATGTCATTCATGAGCTCCCAGTCCCAGACAGTCTTTTCAACCTAGGCATGTGAACATAGTAGTTCATAAAAACTCAGTCTTCTGGTTAAGTCAAAGACACTCCACTGAGGCTACAATGTCACTGAGGCAATGTAATACAACAGCATGTCAAAAATACATGCTCTAATTTACAAAAGAAGTGGACATTCTCATTCAAATATACACATTAGTGTAACACATGAAAACAAAACTCATGTTCACTAGAGTGTGTCCTATGTACACTGAACACATTCACTGAGTATCAGTATTTCTATTCTACTGCCATTCCAAAATAAGCTTTCCAACAGTGTGCTCAATTTAAATTGGTCAACAGTGTCAGATTACTGGAGTCCACTGCTGTTCATGTATTTATAGTTAGACCAGGGACCACTGCCTCACAAGGCAAATAACGCTGCCAAGTGCCAGTCATTTGCCTGATTTCAACTAAGTCTGTTTTGCTTATGATGTTCTTTACTGACAAGGTATCTAACTGCACTCAAAACAGGAATTGCTGTTTGAAAGCATACACATGCTACTGAAATGTATCTGGAAGCCTATCTGTGAAAGTTACTGAGCTACCTGACATGAGCTGCAAAACAAAGTCTGACAATGCTCACCTTCTTAGTCTTTGGTTTCTTTTCTTCTTCCTCTTCTTCAACTGCAGCTTCATCATCATCTGTTTCTTCTTTCTCCTTTGCTTCCTCCTCTTCAATGGGTTCTTCAACAGTCTCTGTCTAAAGAGACAACTGAGAGTGAGGACTTGGACTGCTTGGCTTCCTACGAGGTATGCTCTAGGATCCTCTCAAACAGCTTAATCTCTCAGAGTGCTAGTTTAACTTATGCTGTTTGCCTGTTGCAAGCGTTTCTCTATAGGTAACTATGGTTTTTAGCTGTATTTTTCATGAATACATGCTCTCCTTCAATACACTGGGATGTCACTGTACTCAAGTTTTTTATAACTTTACATTTAGCTTTACACATAATGCTCATCAGAGGCTTTGGTGATATAACTTAGTGCTACACTGAGAAAACATCAGAAAAGCAGGCCTAATAGTTAAGATGCTACCCTTCTTTTAGGACACCTAACCATGGCCCTGCTTGAGAGCTTACCAGAGCTTCCAGCTACCAAAGCCAGTGGAAGAAAGATCTTTTTAGTGATTCATACAGTCTTTTTCCTTTGCTAAAGTTCTTTGAGTCAGAATAAAAGCAAGTTCATTGGAAATTAGTAATTTTAGCAATACAGTAACTTTCAGCAAGTAACTAACTAGTTACACTAGCCAAAAGGGTCAGGAACAGAAATCTTTTGGAAATTAAACCAAGCAAATTCTATATCATTCTCTCATCCTTCCTGAAAGATCTGGCCAGAGTTTTCACAACCAAAGGTCATACTCTACAGTGATCTGTTAAATATACTTACCTTGCTGCTCCACACATATATGGGGAAGTTTATGAACTGTGAGTATTTCTTTACTAGATTCTTAACAGTATCCAGCTCAAGATAATCAGATGCTTCCTCCTTCAAAACAAGGCTAAAGAAAATGAGAAAAGGTTTAATTAAAGTGCTGGACAAGTATTTTAAAGTAATTTTACAGGAAGAGCTGCATCTTCTTTTGCAGCTGTAGAGATTCAAATTTAGTGAAGTGAGCCTTTATTACTTAAGCTCAAAGTGATTCTTAAAAACCAGAATACCTACTGAACTGCTCCAAGAAGAAAGGGTTGTTTCCAACAACTGGGACAGACAGTGACCAGGAGTTTAAATGAAAACCTCAGAACACTGATACTTAGCAGGAGGTTAATGCATTCTTACTAGCTCTACTTGGAACTAGAGCACCAAGATGAACTTCTTCATGCTAAGTGCCTTCTTCAGGAAGAAGTCATCTGAACGCTGACTAAATAAACCAATCTGCTCATGAAAGCCATGAAAACAGGCCTGTCAAACTATCTCCAGTTTAAGATTTGCATCAGATCAGTTCCACTGGTATATAAGCAGCAGCCAGTTTCCCAGAGGAAGCTCTACAGCCTTATATAGGTTTCAAAGGGTCACAATGGTGCGAGGAACCAAATGAGTATGCAGGCAGCTGAACTGTCTGGAATTACTTGCTGACAGTTGTCAAGATGCTCATGGTTCTCCTGGTTTATCTAATGGAATATGAACTGTATTTATTTTGGATGTTCTATTACACTGAAAAAAGCTGTATTAGAAGAAGCAAATGATGTATTAGAGTCACAATTCTAAAATAATCCACATATTCCAATAAGCAAAACACACCAAGACTTTTTTTCTTTTAACTCCAAAGTATTTTACTACTTACGTTATGGTTGTGCCACGTCCTAAAGTGTTTCCTCTTGGGTCATCAATCACAGAGAATTCATTTGAATCAGATTCCCAAATATGTTGAGTATCATTGTTGTGTTTTGATGTGACAATAACTCTGTCTGCTACTAAGAAAGCAGAGTAAAAGCCAACACCAAACTGGCCAATTAACTCAGATGTTGACTGGCTATCATCCTGCATTTCATTCATCTTGTTTAAGAATTCACTTGTACCAGACTTTGCAATGGTACCCAGGTTTTTAACCAACTCCTCTTTTGTCATGCCAATACCCGTATCTGTAACATGAAGCATGTTCTTCTCTTTGTCACACTGGAAAAAAAATAAGTAAAAAAGATGCAGTATTAACTTCATTTTGAATTTTAATACCTAATAAGGTGCCACAGAAAAAGTATTAAGCAGAATAGCAGCTATTCACTTTCATGCCTGGCTACAATAAAATCAAATATGCAGTAACTACAGGAGTGAAGTAAATCTACTTTGCAGTATTTCAATACCTCAGTTACTCCTCATAGAAACAGAAATGTATTTTCACCAGTAAAGAATAGTACTTGACAAAGTCAATTGCGAAGGTCCTGATGTGGTCCTAGTTTCTATTTGCATCAGTATTAAGCCAGAAAATTGCATTTTATGATCCACTATCTTTTTACATTCTTCCCACTGCTCCTCTGTAAGAGAGGATTGTTCCTAATGCTTCTTACCTTGATTTTGACAGTAAGTTCCTCATTACCAGCCAGAGCATTTTCATCAGTTAAGGATATTAACCGTATCTTATCTAAAGCATCCGAAGCATTTGAAATAAGTTCCCTGAGGAAAATCTGAAACAGAAATCAGCGCTCAGATTTCTAGAACACACACAAAGATTTCTAGCATGTTCTATTCAAAGGCACTAACCTCTTTATTTTTATACAAAGAATTGATAATAAGTTTCATCATTCTGTTGACTTCTGCTTGAAATGCAAACTTCTCAGATTTTTCTCGGATTTCTTTGATCTGGGATGCATTTAGGCCATCTAGTTGGATAGCTTCTTCCTCTCTGTTACGACAAGGAAAACCTGTCAAGTAGTCTTGCCTATAAAGAGTGTCGCTAATTTTATCATCCAGCAACAGCAATAATAGTGTAATTACAACAATACTAAGACTCTTGATCACTGCCATAGCCCAAAAGTAATACTATCAAATAGGTGCAGGAATAGCTATCCTCAACTGCACCACCTTAATTTAAAACTTAAGTGAAAATCCATGCTTCCAAGAAAGACTTTGTTTTCCCTAAAAAAGAAATTCAGGAAGAAACACAGGTATGTTAAAACCACTGTAATCCTCAGCATGTGGATCTCACAGGAGATGAGACGGTTCATGAGCATAGAACTATTTCATCAGCAGGCACTGAAATGACTATTTACCATATGCAGGAGAAAATCCCTATGAATATATTGTGGTTTATGTTAGCTACTGATATTAGTCAAAACCAACTTGAATATTTCTGAATCTGAAGTTCTCAGACTCACTTCTGTTTAGAAGGATTCAGTCATTTAAGTGACTAGGTCTCTCTTTTGCATGGCATTTCTCCCTTCTCCCCTCATTTCTGAGGCTTTAGGCATTACTGATGCGCGAATTGACCCTTCAAAAGCAATGGAAAGTCTTAGCGTTTCAGAAGTAACTTACCCAGAACCCCAGGTACTAACCTCTGCACAACTTCATCATCTGTTCGGGACCCTTCTCTGCTTTTACCCAAGTCATCTTCCACGGTCCCCTCTACATCCACTTCTTCAGCTCTAACCGATACTGGGAAAACATGGAATCCAACCTTAAGAAGCTGATCGCCACTACACACTACTGAACTTCTCCACTTATCATCCCCATAGTTTTCGCCTCAGTCCTGCCCCTTTTATTCTACTCCCTGAAAAAAGTTCAATCCAACCGGAGACAGCCCAACGGTGTAAAAAGACAAACCCTTCCCCCCACTTCCCACCCGTGGCCGCGCATGAGCAGCATTACAGAGGCCGGCCCCCTCTCCCTGCCACCCCAGTCAGCGGAAAGAGGTGCTGGCAGCAGCCTGGGGAGAGCATAGCAGGAGACTGAGCGCCGCTCTCGGGGAGAGCGGCGGAGACGGCAAAGAGGGGAGCCCCCGCCCCTCAGACACCAAGGGCCCCACCGCGCTTCTCGTGGGCCCCCATCTCCCTTACCCTAGGGAAACAGTGGGGGAGTGCGTGGAGAGGTGTGGGGGGGAACTACTGGCCGACCCCCAGCCTCTCCCCGCCCCCAGCCACCGCTCGCCAGAAGCTTCTAGAAGTCCGCGGGCACTCACCGGCCAGGAGCAGCGTACACGCCAGAACGAGTCCCCACAGCGGCTTCATAGCGACGTGGGCTGCGGTCGCACACGAAAACGACCCCCAGCGCCCGTACCTCGCGCTCCTGCCCCGCCGCCAACCGGCCGCCGCCGCTGAGCCTGCTGGAGCGGCCGCGGCCCTCCCGCCTCCGCCTTATAAATGCGGGGCGCTGGAGGGTGGGGGCCGCCGCTCCGCCGCTGACAAATCGGAGCGTACCACGCCAAAGATACAGCCAATGGGGAGTCTGGAAGGGAAGGGCCTGCTGCTATCACCGCCAATCACGGCTTTCCATGTGCGGTTTCCTGCGGACAGAGCGTGGCCGGCGCCGATTGGCCAGGCGGAGGGGCAATGGGCCAATCGTTTCCGCGGAGGGGTTTAACCGGCACGGCCTACCTTTAGGTTTTAGTGAGTAAACCGTTAACGTTTAACGGTGAGGCCGCGAGGGCCGGAGCCGCTGCGGCCAAGCCCGGGAGCGGTAACGGGAGTATCCACATGGGAGGCCAGCTCTGACCACTTCCGGGGGCACCCGGGATGTTTACCGCGGGGAGGGTTGCTATGGCAACAGGCGCTTCCCGTTATGGCGGTCCCCGCCAAACCACCAGGGCACTAAAGAAGAGCAAAATGTTATGAGAGGCGCAAACATATACAGAGCTGCGGAGTAGCGCCAGGTTTGCCTGCCGGCAGCGAAGGTGCGGCGCCGACTGGCCCCTGCCGTCAGCCCCGGCGGAGGGGATCCGTCCCCCCGGCCCTACGGCAAGCACGGGTGCGCCGCCTTGCATGCCGGGAGTTGTAGTCCGCACCGGCTTTCTCCATGGCGCCCCCTGCTGCGCGGCTTGAGGGGTGTGGGGTTCGGGTGCCGTTAACGGGGACCTCGCTCTCCGCACTGTTCGTTGTCCTTGTCTCCCCGGCTTTGGCTGTCCGCTCCCTTCTGTTGTCTCTGGTGCCTCACACGACCGTGAGGGAGACTGACTGGCTTCAGACCAGCCTCCCCGCGGCCTTGTCTGGGGAGGTGTCGGTATCGATGAAGGAGAAGACAAGCTGGGTGCTCAGCAGGTCTTTTGTGTTTTCCTGTTTTCCAGTGCTCATCTGGGAGATCATCCTCCAGTGAGTTTATTAGCACTCCTCAGCCTACCTTTGGGGCCATTGTTTATCCATTAGCGGCCCTTCACTTCACCTTGTTCCCTCCCCCAGCAGAATGGAGGAAGGAACTGGAGAGTAGAAGTGAGCGAACCTGTGTGCTAGGCTAAAGACAGTTTAACAGGTAAAGCAAAAGTTTTACCTAGATACCTACTTCTCACACAAGCAAAACAAGGAATTCATTCACCACTCCCCGTGGGCAGGCAGGTGTTCAGCCATCCCCAGGAAAGCAGGGCTACATCCTGTGTAATCATTACTTGGGAAGATGAACACCATAACTTCAACCATCAGCCCACTTCCTTCTTCTTCCCCCAGCTTTATATACTGAGCACAATGTCATATGGTCAGCTGGGGTCACAGTTCTGTCTCCTCCCAACTTCTTGTTCACCCCCAGCCTGCTAACTGGTAGGGGGATGTGAGGAGCAGAAAGGGCCTTGATCTGTGTAAGCATTGCTCAATGGTGACTGAAACATCCTTGTGTTACCAAAACTGTTTCCAGCACAAATCCAAACCATAGCACATACCAGCTACTGCAAAGAAAATTAACTCTATCTCAGCCAAAACCAGAAGATAAGGCCAAGATTCGATTGTGACCTATTTAATCATGAAGCTTTTCTGCATGCTTTGCAGTTTCAATAGCTGTTCTTCAGAAGCTGCTGCTTCACTGATCACAAATTCTCAGAGAAATAAGAAGGAAAGTTACTCTCTCAAAATGTATGTGAGAATGACTGTGAAAGATACGTATGAAAGGTCAGGGTTGTAAGTAAAAAACCCATCTGTCAGGTTTTTGCAGACACCTCTGTGAACTCAGAATTATTTCCTGAAGAGTAGCCTTAATTGAAAATACAATTCAGTTATTTTCATTATTCTAAGCAGAGAAAGCTTGCCTTTTTCTAAAACTCACCTACAAGTGGTTTCAGGATTTGATTTCTTAATTACGTCTATCCTACATGATTCCCAGGGTGATATGTTGCTCTATGACTATGAATAGGCATTTGAGAGACACAGGGATTCAGAGTAAATTTATCTCTTGTAGAATTGTTGCTTTTATAGGTTTTTATGGCAGTTCTGGTTCAGCAGTCATTTTGCTGGCAGTGGGAAAAGTAATTCTTTGTGACAATCTTGTTGAATCATAGTTCTGGAGTAGTAGGAATGCAAACCAATTCTAGTATTGACTATGCTAAACCAACAGAGATTTTAGATTAAGTTTGGTGGAATCCAAATTTTATTGGTTACTTTACTCTTAATGGTTATACAAAGTAGAATGTTGCTTTTGAAGGAGATACAGAACTTGATAAAACTGTGTTTGTGCTTTGAATTTAGTGGTCAGACTGGTAAGAAGTGTAATGTGGTTAGTGGCATTGCTTGCTTTATGTAATTACACTGTTTGCTTTCATGAAAGCCCAGTTGGGTTACCCTGGACAAAAGTGATAGGCAAGAATGAAGCAGCTGAGTACTTACACTCTCACAAAGAAAGTTTAATCTCTTTACAAGGAGGTTAGCAATTGAAGAAAATGTCTTCTTTGAACATTAAGCTTCTCAAAATACTTTAAAACTATGAACATACTGTTAAATACTGTTGTTGATGTTTTAAGCAAATCTGAGTGGAATTTCCACCGAAAAAATATTAATTTCAGCTTAAGTTCTGCTTAAAAAAGGGAGTTTTTAAGACCTTAGTTGCATTGATTACTACTGCCATTCAAGAGAAATCTGAGTATCACCTCTCAAGATTTAATACCAAAGGAAAAGTGTAACTCTTAGGAGCTAATCATTCTTCAGTGACTTAACTACATTAAAGGGTTCTGTAAAGCAATGAGATATACTTTGATGACTGTGTGCATAATGGTTGAAATAGTGTATTTAAGTGCTGTACTTGCTCTCTTAGCTGAAAATTCAGGGGCGTGTGGTGATAAGAGAAACAGAATACAGGTAGCGCCTTCTGCCATGCAAACAGTAAAGCAGGCCCCTCTCCATTCATCTGAATGCAATCTTATCAGCTCATCCATGTGTCTTGTGGGGAAGTCAGCCCACTGAAGCATGCCACATGATTCCAGCTGTAAGCTGTAACTAGCAAGAAGCAATACTTTGCCAGAAATAGCTATAGAGATAAACTGAGAGGAATTTGTATGACCTGACTGTGGGTATTTGACTTAACCAGCTAAATTAGCCCCCTAATCTGACTAGGCTCCATCTGTAATAGAGAGACAGTCACTGTACTAGCTTTGGCATACGACAGATGATTTCCAGAGCTGATTTAACTCTCTAGCCCAGCAAAATGCTCTGTAGTTAAATCAGCTTATATCAGATCCAGGATGCACCATACTAGAGCATGGTAAAGAGCAGTTTATGGCTAGCAGAAGGTGATATCCTGGTTTGATGGTGGTGGGCTCACCCTGGGTTGTCCATTATATAAGTTAAAGACACTGTGCATAGGTGCAATGTAAGGAAGCCATAAAACTAGACAATGAGTTTGCATTGTCAGACTATTGCCTCTTGTAAGACATAGTTGAAATTTGTAACTAATGCAAGTTCCATTTTTGTTCAGGGATAACAAAAATGCTGTAATTTGTGTCACTGCTAAATAGCCAGTTGCTGTCATGCTGTTTTTGATAAAGAAGTGTAAGAGATTTTGAGAATAATTAATGCAGTCTGAATGAGTACCATCTTTCTTACATAATAATGCATTGGAAAGATGAAGACTTACTTCTCTTCATTCTGTAATTTGAGTGCCATTTGCAACAGGAACAGTTTTGACAGAAACAACATCTTACTTGAACTCTGGGAATGGACAGTGGTGGTGAGCTGCTGTCTAAAGAGCTGTTTGAGGGGCTGCAGTGGGGTGTAGGAGTCCTGGATCTGGTTAGACATGAGCCTGCTTTCCAGTTCCCTCTCCTCTGAATCTGTCCTGGACTTTTCGACCTCAACTAAAACAGGCAATAGATATGACAAATGTGGAGCAGAAGGAAAGAGTTTATGAGGTCCAACAGGACTGACTACAAGATAAGAGGGACTATGAAAATATCCACGTGCACAGAAACAGGTACTTCCTGCTGAGATGGATTGCTTATTTCATTGGTTTTTTTTTTGTATCCAAGATTGGAGCAACAGACAAGTTTATCCTGTTGCTATCTGGAGGTTATGGTAGCGGGAATTCACCTCTGAATCCTTTAGGCAGAAGCAAGGTGCTTTGGTGCAAGTGTAACAAACACAATACAGTGTCTGTAAAATAACATGGTATTAGGTGTCATTCATAAACATATGTTTCTAAATACACACCCACCCACCATCCTTTGGTAACCTCTGAGCATGATAGCCTCTTATGAGCATTCTGCAGCTAGCAGAATTTACTTACATACGCACACATTACTCTTAACAATGACACTCAATTGGAATGTTGCTTTTTAGTTGTTACAGTAATATCAGTGCTCTCACTCTACCTATTTTACTTATAATTTCCTGAGAAACAATAGGGAATAAAAACCTGCAAAGCACGTGAAACAACACTGGCACTCCCGCAGACTAGAGCCAGTTAAGCCAGTAGATTAATAGTGAGCTGAGTAACACTGGCAGGAACAGTATGGACTTTTATTGATTTGTTCTCTTGTTCTCTGTTCTTGCCCAGAGTGCATCCACCGTTGGCTGCTGCTGGAGACAAGGTAATGGTCTGATGTGAAGTGGCCATTCTTAGGAACTCCATATGTTTTATACATGCTTCATCAGCTTGAGTGACTGAATGCCTCAGGGCCTGAATGCAGTGGATATGGAACACAGAACCAGATCTACAGGGAGCCATGGGCACTATTGCATTTAGTCAAATCAATCCCCCATCACTCATCACAAAAAGTGGAGCAACTGCCATGAAAGATATTGCAAGTTACCTGTATGTTTTCAACTTTTTCTTTTCCTCACCATTTTCTGATCACCATTTAGGGTCGAGAGAGATATGAGGGTGAATAAATACCCAAAGGAGGGAACAAATTGAATGGAAGTTTCTCTGAGCTTGGATTAATATTTTAATCACTGTGTCGCTGCATAGAAATGCTATGAATACCAGCTGAAGAAGGGCAGCAGTCTCCACTTCAAAAAAAACAAACCAAACCAAACCAAACTTGATCTATTAACTATGCTCTGGGCTTTGTTTATGGACCAAAATTACTCCAGTACGAAAAACGGTGGGAAATTTGTTTTGTGAAGGTCAGGAATGAGCTGGGTTTGTTACTACTTGGCACGATAAGCAGTTGCAGTACCAGAAAAGAGACTTTCAGTACTTGGGAAACTTTAGAATGAAAACTGAGATGCTGACTGAGCTTAGGTAGTTTCAAGGCTAGGTAACTGTTACAGAAGCATTTTGGGGACAACAGTTTTGGACCCATGTGTCTGAAGAGAGATCTAAGGTGAGTTACAGCTTTCTGTGAATTTAACATTCAGAAATTTCCAGGAGGTCCAAAGCATCTTGTAGGATCTTGGTCTGAAATGCCTAACTTTTCAGACACTACACTTGCAGGAGACTTAATTCTTATGCTGATATGCAAATCCTAGGAGGCTGATGAGAGATTCATTGATGTTAGGCACACTACACACGTGATCAGAGCTGGTGTTTAAACATCTACAGGATTGGGGTCTAAATTTTTCCTTCAGCAAGCACTTTTGGTATAAATATTTCTTTCAACAGCAAGACTGTTGTTCACAGCACCATCACAATCACATTAGGAAAAACCCTTATCTGTATCTTTTGCCACATCAGTCTCATACTTCCAGTATGTTTCTTTTTTATTTCTGCTCTGCTCCAAGTTTTGAGGAAAGCATTTGTTCTTCAAGTAATATTGGGTCTTTAGTCAGCTTTATCTTGCTCCTCCTGAGGCTGATGATTGCACTGCAGCTGGCACTGTTAGAGAAACATCAGTAATCTGCCGGGTTTTCCCCTTGTCAAGAAGTTTTGAAGGCTGCAAGTTGGTGTCCCTTGAAGTTTAATGCTCTGTATTCTCATAATAGAGGAACTGACAGATTGGAATGCGTTTTAAGGAGCCTAGAATAAAGGGCAAAATCTGTTAAGATGAAGAATTGTAACTAGAAGAATCTTTGTACGGATAAAATAATCATGTTTTGATCATTATAAAACCCTCCCTGACTCTTCAAATGCTAAAACCTCTGTAAGTTTCAGTATCACTGGAAATCTGCACCTGCAGCAACATATTTCTGTAGCCAAAAATAAAAACTGTATCACAGGGAATATTAGTCTTCTCAAAATAGTTAAGCCTTATTCTAATCTGTAATTACTATTCTCCATGGCCGAATAAAGTCTTAGCTTGACATAGCTGGCCCCCGTGAGTGCACAAACGGTGGCATTTGCTATGAGCAACCTTTGGTTTCACAGCAGCTTCTGCTTGTGATGTGTAACAGCATGTAGAGGGCACATCTGTCAACTGAAGAGGACATGTTGACATCTGCAGCAAAATGGGCACAGAAAACCCGTGCTGTAAAGAATATCCCTTCTGCTCTCCCTGCCCCGAGGATGGACTGAGTATCTCTGGCAGCAGAAGCACTGTTGATAAGGTGCTGTTGACCTTCAGCTGGTGCAGGTCAGCAGGTGTAAGTTGGACTTGGGGAACATAGAGCAGCCACAGCAGCGTAGAGTGTTTGCATAGCGTCACCCAGGTGAGTTGGTATAGCTTCCAGCTTGTTCTTGCGAGCTTTGCAAGCTTACTTATCGCTAAAGTGTATGTTGAAAGTTCTCAGAGTAGAGCCTGTGTCCACAAAGCTGACTGCGTAAATCTGAACATATCATTGGGAAACAGCATTTCTGCACACTGGCACTCATGCTCAAGAACCGAGGCAGCAAGATGCAAAAAGCTTTGAAGACAAGGCATTAAGCTTTAAATAAGGTGTTTTTTTCCACCCACTTCCTTCGAGAAAGAACGGGAGGCTGGAAGGACCAGCTCTGGCTTGGATTTGCTGGGCGAGAGCTCACCCTGGCGGCCTGTGGGGAGCTTGTCCTTTCAAGAGATCACCTCTGCCAGGTCTTTGCGTGCAAGCACGTGCGTTGTTCCTGCTACTTTAGAGAAATACTTCATCATGGTATTCTCATTTTTGCATTGACCTCATGTTAATCCTCATAATGAGACATTAAGACTGGAAAGAGATGTTTCTAAACGTCTATTCTCTGCACATACGTATGTAAGGGCAACGAAGCCAGTGAAGGGCCCAGAGCGTAAGCTTTATGAGAAAGAGCTGAAGGAACTGGGGTTGTTTAGTCTGGAGAAGAGAAGGTTCAGGGGGGACCTTATTGCTCTCTACAGCTACCTGAAAGGAGGATGGAGTTAGGAGGTGGCTGGTCTCCCAAGTAACAGGACAAGAGGAAACAGCCTCAAGCTGTGCCAAGGGAGGGTTAGACTGGATACTGGGAAAAATTTCTTTGCCAAAAGGGTAGTCAGGCATTGGAACAGGCCGCACAGGGACGTGGTAGAGTCACCATCTCGAAGTGTTCAAAAAACCCCGTGTGGATGAGGCCGATATGTTTTAGTGGTAGACTTGGCAGTCCTGGGTTAATGGCTGGCCTTGATCTTAAAGGTCTTTTCCAACCTAGTTGATTCTATGTGTGTATGAATGTATTTAAAATAAGTTTTTCTCTAACTTTTTAATAGGGAAAATATTTTTTTTGGTGGTTATACAGATTGCCACCCCTTTGAAAATGTGTCATGACTTCTCTCGTGTCCCGGAAAGAGGCTCTTTGAAGTACTGCTGGAGAAGGTTAGTAGACAAGCTCTTGGCAACATTCATTTGGTTTGGGGTGGAAGGGACCTTCAAAGGTCATCTAGTCCAACCCCCATACCATGACCAGGGACATCTTCAACTAGATCATGTTGCTCAGAACCACATCTAGCCTGGCCTTAAGTGTCTCCAGGGATGGCTCATCCACTGCCTCTCTGGGCAACCTGTGCCAATGTTTTACCACCCTTTTTGTAAAGAATTTCTTCCAGCCTGAATCTCCCCTCTTTTAGTTTAAAACCGTTACCCCTTGTCCTATTGCAAACATTCATTTGTGCTAGGAAAAACAGTGCTTATTCCGCCATTCAGAGACATCATAAGTAAACTGCAGTACCCTGTGAACTCTAAACCTGTTCACTGTACAGAAACAAGTACCAGGATCTCAGTGAATAGCTGGGGGTATAATTTATTTATCTTTGGCTTTTGTTTCTTATACATGAGGTCAAACCCAATGTGCCTGGAAAATAAATACATAAAATATTAGAAAAAAAAAATCTTTGAACTTTCTTAGGGTAAGGCAAAATACTTTCTTTTGTAATTGTTGTGAAATCCAGGTTTATATCAATGTAAAACCAGCATAACAATTGTATGTCCAAATATATTTAAAAAGAAGGAAGATCCTTATACTGGGACTGTGAAATGTATTTTAAGGATGAGACCACATTTTTTTTTCTTACTAGACTTTGAATGAGGATAGTTGATATTGACCAGTTGGAGCCGAGTCTATCCAGGAAGTCACCTTGGCCAAGCCAGGTATACCTAGAACTCAGGCCACATGAGGACTAGGGCACAGGCCTAAGCTTAAATGCAGCTCGAAAGCCAAAGTGAGAGAGGTGTGCGGGTGGATGGAGAAGATAAGGCTTCTCACAGCTGTTCTCACAGAGCCCTTGTCCCTGGTACACAGCTGTGCCATATCAGAGCATAGCTTGAATGCTGGCAGCTGAAGTCTAGGGGGTGGGTGGATGACACTGATAAAGATTTTATAGGAGAGGAAGGTTGCAGGCTGCTCAAGGTATTTGCAACCTATTTGTTTTCTTAAAGTTTTGATCCTGAAATTATATTTACTATTTTGAGTTGGGGTAGTGAGGCATTCTGGGTTTTAGATGTTCTAGCTATGCAGACAAGTATGAAATCTTTCTCTTCTTACTGCTACTATGGCATGAATTCAGGAAACTTCAATAACCCCTTGTACTTTCATTAGTCAAATGCTGCATAGCATGAGCAGCTTGGTAACTGAGCTACAAGATAACATAATGAAAAAGAAATATATTGATCATGACAAAGCTTTTTTTTTCTCTAGTATGTGTTATTCTTCTCCACTGGATTTGGTTTCTTGGTCCCATATTACACTAAACACAAAACTCATTTTCAGCTCTTTTCTATGATACTAGGCCATCTTTTCTATTTCTGGGCCAAATGATTTAATTATTGCATGCAAAGTGGAACAGCTTTAACAAGGGTGAGTAAGAATATTTGTTGTTTGAATGCTGAGGATTACATGCTCAGCTACTTTTCTGACGTACTTTTAGCCTGGCATTTCTCAGTCATTGTAAGTGCTAATTTATTTGGTGCTGTGCTCCATCTCTTGATGTATGAATGTTTCATCCGTAGCCTCCTCGCTATCCTTATGTATTAGGCACTTTTATTTTTTTTTCAGCCTTTCTGAAAAGCATATGTTTCTTTTGGTGGCAAGGCTGTTGAAAATTGTTTCCTTGCCAGCATGAATCCTGCAGATTCCAGGATAGTCTTTCTCTTGAACATTCTACGTGAAGTAGGATGGAATATTTAATAGGACAAAGGGTGCATCTCCTAAGATAAAGGTACTTTTTACAAGGGCTTTTTACAAACTGAAAGAAGGTAAATTCAGACCAGGTATTAGGAAGAAATTATTTGCTATGAGGGTGGTGAGGCACTGGCACAGGTTGCCCAGAGAAGCTGTGGCTGCCCCATCCCTGGCAGTGTTCAAGGCCAGGTTGGACGGGGCTTGGAGCAACCTGGTCTAGGGGAAGGTGTCGCTGCCTATGCCGGGGGGCTGGAACTAGATGATCTTGAAGGTCTCTTCCAACCCAAGCCATTCTGTGATAAACGGTGTTGGTAGGATAAGAGTATCCTAGCTAGGTGATGAGTTGCAAGCCTAGCTATAGGATGCAACACTGCTTAGACTGTAGCTATGTGCTGATAGAAGTTGTAAAAAACATTTACAAAGCAGTTGTTTTTGTCAGCTTTTATTCATTTCTACCTGAAAGGAAGCAAATTAGCATGCAGTTGGAACTCGGTACTCTGAAAGCAAAGTGATTTTTATAGTGTATGACAGCTACTATGACATGTTCTTGAGAGCTACTATGCAGTTCTTTGACTCACAGGTAATTGTCAGCAATCTAATACTCATGGATGCTACAGTAAATACCTCTGTGCTATTATCTGAAGCTATGATATGGATTCTGTAGGTTGAATAAAAAGTAGTTTTGAGAATTTTATATGATAATGCTTCCTCACCCCCCCCCCCGCTTGTATCCAGCAGGTAACAGGTTGTGATAACACCTGTAGGCATCATTATGGGACAAAAGCAGACAATAATAAAATTTAGGACAGAAAAATCTGTCAAGATGCTGTGTAAGATAAACTGCTGTCATGCCTGAGTTAGGCTCATTAAAGCTGTGGGGGAGAGGGGAGAATGAATCTTCTGCAGTCTCCCAAAAGACAGGAGCAGTCAAAAGAGACATCCTGAAATCTGTTGTTACCAGATGACTCAGTTCTCCAGCTACAAGACCTAGATGCTTTTGTATAAGTGAATGCTTCTTGCAGTGAGTTTTTATTAATAGCAATGCTAAATATGCCATTGGTTTAAAGAAGCAGCCGAATGCAGGGGATGATGTGCTGAAATTATCAATTTTATGAAACTAATGAACTCTTTGTAAGGATTGGCAGTAGATTTTTAAGATTGAATGTGTCTGTCTATGGCTTTAGATTTTTCTGAGTAACTCCTGTTTTAAGAATGGTATGTTAATAGGCTGAACAGTGTGTTAATAGATTTTTGTGTATATATTGGAGTAGAATTTTAAAGGGACCCATTATCTGAATTTGTATCTATCAATAAGCACACAGATTTTCAAAATATGTCAGTACTCAATAGGACATGAGAGGCAAATCTTAAGCCAGACTTCAAATTCAGTTTGCACCTAGCAAGTCCTTATTACTGTTATTAAGTGAGAGCTGCTAAGCATTTAACAGTTCTGGAAGCATTGTCTGTAGTGGTCAACTCGCCCATTCCCACTGATATTTAGGCAAAACTATTGATTTCAGATGAGCATGATCAAGCCTCTAAGGTCTCATTGCATCATTTTGTCACTCAACAATGTATGTTACACTACAGTGATAGAGATCTCTTACAGTTTAATATACTATTCTGTAAGTATTACCATGTTGATACTGAATTTTCCTCAATTCTGAAATGCACAAGAAATTTTGTATCTCTTACATTTTTTTGTAAGGTTGATCTAGAAGAGACAGGAAGATATCTTCAGCTATTTGCCAAAAATTGATTTCCATGAGAAATGCTTGAATTGTACACTAGAAACTAAGGGTAGACTAGAAAGTAAGATCCTTCAGGTAGGGTGAATTATCATTGGTTTAAAGAGTGATGGTGTTTCCTGGCAGACTCATAAGAAACGTTTTTAGTGTTTAATTCATGCAATATGTGCACCATGAGCTTGCCAGATGCATGGTGACACTCTGGATGTCTGTAATGCCATGTTTCCTCTGTGTACAATTCTTATCAATAAGAAGATCCCAGAATAAACTGGCTGATTGGCTTTATAATGCTCTTGCTCTGTGCTGATTACAATATGTAATTCACTTGCCATGTTTGGTCAGCAGATAGATATGGACATCATACTGTTTGCCAAGGCCATGCCCTCCCTGACTAGAGAATGACTTGCCAGTGATTGCCATCACTGATGGTATTTCTAGTGCGCTTCTGTGAAACCGTTGTCATCAACCCAGCAATTGTGCAGTAAGTTCTACAACATATGGTTCAATTCTTTAAGATATTGAGATTCCTCATCAGGGCATCTGCTGCTTCATATGTCAGAAAACAGAGGAAAAAGGCAAATATGTATTTAATTTCATGTTAGAAAATGCAGAGAGTATGAAAACCACTATAAATTGACTGTCTATTTACTCTTTGTGAAGTGAAATAGTCTGAACCTTCTTCCAATAAAGCTGATGATAGGGTCCAGAAATGGCTCGGATTGCAGACTGAAGCTGTACCAATTTTATCTGAGAGATCTCTGTAATTGCAGCAGTAGAGTGACTGCAAATTCATGCTGCTTAGTAGCGTTACGGACAGAGCTATGAGGAAGGAATTGTACTTTTAAACATGTACTTACTTTCACTGACTTCTCTATTTGAATGTCATTTGCTACTTGCATTTACTTGCTATTTTAGCATTATGCCCTGGCAAGACACAGTTCCTGCATCCTGTGTTCATTGAACTTGTGCCTGTGAAGCCTTACCTCAGTGAATAACTTTGTGTGAGGAGCAGTTAAGTCTTCAAGGATGCTGCTATGTCAAGCATATCCATAAATCTTCGCAGGTTCCAAACACAGTCTAGTTATGCTAAAGTTAGTTACAAGTGCAGTGTAACTGTGATGCAGTGTAACTTAATGGATTTTGTGGAGAGGATGTACAGGCTTCCCCATTGAAGGGGAGCCATGCAGGGGGATAGATAACAGATACTAATCACCTTTAAGGAACATAACAATATGATGCATCCATCTTCACCTAACTTAATATTTATGCTCTCATATTCTCATGTTTATAGGTGGTAACATTATCAAAAGTACCTGTTTATCAACAGAAAGTTGAAACAGAAATCAACTGAAAAGTTTAATTCCATGCATGTACTGTCAAATGTAGGCTCAAAAGAGGAAATGTCTTTCAACCAGTGAATAAAGCAATCCTGCTTTTGCCAGGTCTTAGTGCTGTAAAATGTTGCGTGGAGGGAATCCATGAAAAACTACAGGAGATGGGTAGAATCTCCAGATAGAAAATAAAGTAGTGGCTGAAGTGATTTTTAGGAGGAAGATAAATTAAAATATTCATACACCTGATTGCTCTCTAGAAAATATGGGCTAAATGAAAGATTTTTACACTTAAGAAGAAAACCCATGATTCTATGATTTTCTGACTCTTAGGATCAAGTCTCATGTAGCTAAGATGTGGAGGGTCAGATCTATTTGATTAAATTCTTCAAAGATTTTCACAGGATGCAGAACAGACATGGCTGCCCTTGACTTCGTTGTCTTCAATGAGTGTGCATCATACTACAGCTAAAGTAGTATCTGCAGAGCTAAATATGTATCCCAAGACTTTAATATTTTAATGGTGGAGTCATAATTGTAATACAGTCTTCTGAGTATTGAGGAATAGGTTTAGTTTGTTTGTGTTTTTTTTCTTCCTGAAATTGATATATGCCTATTTTTCATTTGTAGCAAGATAAGATTGTTTTAATGCCAAAAAGCATGGGGTTTTAAATTAATTTAATTAAAATTGAGAGTTCTATCTTAGGGTGTGTTTTTAAAGTTATATATGTAGACACACAGCTGTGATTATTTGTTAATGATTTGATTTTGGGCCAAAGTAGGAGACCATGTTTAAAAAATAAAACAGCTGACTGCCAGGTTACTAAACCAAATTTAAATTGCCTATAAAAAGAATGCCACCTATAAAAAGAGAGCCATACCACACTATCAAGTTTGAAGCACTGAGATTTTGTTGTTGTTGCTTTGAAGTGCCTCTTTTCCCTAACTATGTGAAGGTTATTTGTTTCAGTCAAATTAGAATAAAATTAAGGGAAAAGTTTTCTAAGCACAAGATATTACAGACAGTTAATTTGATTTGGGTAGAACAGGTGTGTATTATAAGGATCAGAGAAGAGTCAGCAGTATGATGAGGGTATTCTCCTTTGTATTTGTGCTAAGGCTATGAAAAGGTTACATAAGTGTAATTAAGCTGTGTGGGCACTTAATTTGATAGGAGTTCATATTTAGCTTTAGAATAGAAAAGGTATCTTGATACAGGGTAAACTGCAATGAAACATTCTTAAACCAACATAATAATTTTATATGGCTTTAATCACAGCATCTGAATAAACTGGATGAAGTTAAACCAGCGCAATTTTTCCCAAGTAAAATAAGGCCGGAGAACACCTGTACATTTCTCTAAGAGGGTATAAGTTAAAGAGGGGCTGCAAATGGGAGGCTGTATCCTATGTGCTACAAATGTCCCTCTGAAAATCTGCTTGACTGTGGCTATGCTGCAAGTCTCTGCAGAGTTTGCATCTGCTCAATAGGGACTTGGCTACACCTCCCTGAGGGTACCACTGGGCAAAGCCCCAGCCAGCCCAGTGGGCTATGGTATGGTATGCAAAGCTTGTATTCATGTTATGTTTCAATGTAACTTTATTTGCTCAGTTAACTTTATTCAGGCAACCAAACTGTCCATCAAAATTAATTCTTTTTTATTTACAGCCAAAATTTCTCTTTGCTTGCTTGTGTTCAGAAAAAGAAATGGTTTCAGTAATTTAGTAATTGTTGTGTGTGTAGTTTTTTTGACTTGAGATTTTTTTGTTGGGTGAAAGATAGTTCCCTTTTTGCTGCTATGCAAATCACACTTTCCATGGCAAGATCAATCTTTTAGTTGGAGGTCAAAGGCAGTTGGCAGAGTTTTCAAGTCATCTGAAGAATAGTAAAAAGTCAGGGCTATATATAAAGTGCTGAGCAGTAAGTGACATATAATTATATGATCACCTTACCTAAATTTGTCTGTAAAGGAAATAACGTTTTGTGGTATGTTAAGAATTTGAAACCTTATTCAAGTTTCATTAGTCTCTTTAAAGATTGACAGCTCTTCCCCATTTCCCCCAGGCTCTTCAAATTTATTGCCAACATTATCTTTGCCTAGCTGAATGAGTGAAAACAACCCAATTCCCTAAGTACAGGGCAGGAATCCTGCTGGCTGATAGTTCACAGCCTCTTGTTTCTTGCTTGCTCATAAACACGCTGAAAATAAGATTATGGGATGAGTGTTTACTGGGCTCTGGTTGGGTACAGTAGGGGAAAAAAAACCCCAGTCCTGCTTAGTCTCATGACATGATGTGACATGTCATGCTGGTAATCGAGTCAGTCATGTGGAGGGGTTCTAGTGATGGAGAGCCAAAATAGCAAGAGCTATGATACCTTCTCTTTCTGCAGCCCTAAGGTGAGGCATGCCTTGGGGAATAAATTTCCTAGCTCCTTTGCTTGGAACTCCTTGGTGGCCACTTTTTGAGATTGAAAGGGCAGTGTCAACTGGTGTAACCTGAAGGGCACTCTGTCCCATGCCTGCTTGTCTATGCAGTCCAGAAATATTCTTTGCTCTTTGAACTATTCTGATTGAGATTAGTATAATATAGAGCTACCTTTCCAGTACTTCCGCTGTTTGGTGGGACAGCACCAGGTTGTGTATAGGTTTATAGGTTAATTTACTTTGCCCAGAGGCAGATATTTTGAATTATTAGCTAGGAGCAGAATAAATTAGCGCATGAGAACTCTGGGCTGATGCAGCTGGATTAGTTTTCAGATGACTTGGAAGCAGTCCATGCAGTAGAGACCAGGGTAACCATTTTTTTGGTCTAGATATATGTGGGCCCTGCTTCTTGTGATATGTCATTTGACCAGAGCTTGCTCCCTGGCATTATTATGTGACAAAGCTAGAAGGATGTCCCTCCAACAACTCCTGCTGAAGGAGGGGAAAAATGCCTGCATTAAGTTGTGACCTGTTGCAAGTGCTGAAGTCAATAGGTTGTTTTTTTTTTCCCCTCCTTCTGCCATGTTAGAGATGAATTGTCAGGAACACACTGAAAGTGGGGATAGAAAATCCTCTGTCCTAGCGTAAGGTGTGATGAAATAATGTCTTGATTCTCATAGGAGTGATATATGCATCTTGGGACTGCCCTGGCCAAATCAAAGGTATATCTACACTTTTTTGGCCAGGTGTTTGTTTACAATGCAAAATAGAATTAGATGTAGTTTCATGGGGTAGAACAGGCCCCAGTGGATTTGTCTTGGCTCTGGATAATTTCTGAGGGTTAAACAACCTTATGGAAGAGCTACTGGGAATGGTTGAGTGCCATGCCAGTTAGACATGCCCAGGATGTGACCCATCTTTCTTCCAGGCTGTTTGGCTGTCTCTGTACTGTTCTTCTTCGCATTTCCTATCCACTGCGAATTTAGATACAGATAGATTTGGCTTTGTCTGCTTTGCCAGCATTATTATTTTGAGATCTGGTATAAAATAATTCAAGGGTTCTTATTTTTTACCTTGCAGACTCAGACTTCCCTTTGGACCAGATGTTGGTTAAGTGCTCACCTGTCACATAACAGCTAGCATGTACTACAGTGGATAGCATTAACAGAGCTTCTAACTCCTCTGGTACGTTTGTTTTGAAGTGAATATATAGTTAAAAATGTACTTAATATAAAAATCAAGGTTCTTTTTTAATTGTTATTTAATCTTCTCTTCAGTACAAGATTAGGCTGTAAAGCTAGGAAGTTGGGGAAAAGCAGTTACAAAACTTGCATCCCTATTCAGGTTTGCTTGATAATACTGGATTTGGTTTTTTGAAGAGGGTTTTTTTTTAGAGTTTTGGCACGTTTTTAGGATGTCTGATGTAATGGCTGGAAAAATGTACCAGAATTCACATGGCGAGGTGCATCGATGCTAAGCTGTGCCACTTGGGTTACCAGAAAATCTTGTAACTTGTTTGGATTAAACTTTTTATTTTGTGAGGAGGTATGGCTCACAAATGCTCACCAGGCAGAACCAAATAGTGAGTATCTACCCTACCCAGCTCCACTATGGAAGTGTAACTTTTAAAATATTCAGCTCTGGTTTATATTGGAGTTTGTGAGGAACGTTACTGAGACTAATGTTTCCTATTTCAGTTACTTTGTTTTTATATTCTTGTTTTAACCATGTATTTGCATGCATAGGTAGTGTGTGCTTACATTCTTGCTTTTCCACACTGAATGTGGCAAATCCACTTCAAATGGTGTTAGCATTACCACAACAAAGCAATGGAAGCGAACGAGTAACTCCGGAAAAAGATTTTTCTCCAAAGTTAAAGCTGCTTTTCCCAAACAGTTGCATGTAAACACAGTTCCACCTGTTTTTAAACACCACTTCCCCCTCAGAAAAAACACATAAGGTTTTAATACTTGTAACAGTTTTCCATACGGAAACATTGGCTGGAGAGAGAGTTACTGGTGGGCTAAAGGGCCTGTAACAGGGTACTGTTTCATAGGGGACTTGGGTCAATAATCCCTAAAAACTGTCATCAGCATCTAATGGTTCTGTGGCCTTTAAAGCAAAATAATTTTGACAAACACATTTAGGAAAACTTGTGTAAGCAGGCAATATATTAAAGATGAAGAACGTAACATTCCTCAGAATCTTTTAAGGCATTAAGAAAGACTTCCTATCCTTTCACAATGGACTGCTTCTGTGTTGCTTTTTCCCATTCTCTGTTAGTCCAGGGTCATTCACCTCTGTAATAAACAGCTGTCTGATACAATCTGTCAAATGGTTTTATTGCTTATGAAGCTATTCTGTTTGGAACAGCATACCACAGAAGCCCCATTAAGACATCATCAGCTTTCCTAGCATTGCATTTTAATTTCATTCAGTGGGACTTTAACAAATTGTAGCATCTGTTAGCCCAGTCTTAGGCTTTACTTGAAGACTATACTAGCTGATTAGAAATCCACCCCACAATCACTTCAGTGCAGGAGTGTCTTTATTAGCCAAGTGGTTTCTGAGGTGATGAGTGCTCTAAGTAATCACAGATGTGAGAAGGAGCTGAGAGGGCTGAGCAGGCTGCAGGGAGATTTGCATGTTTCCCTGTGTGAACAAAACTATGAAAAGCAAAGAAATTAGGTAGAGGTGGAATTATAGGTCTCACTTGTCATACATGGCATATGTGAAACACTTAACAGGTCCCCAAAGGTGTTTTATGTATGTATGTATGGAGATTACATGGCATCTATGTCTTGAACCTTCAACAGGTGTTTGTGAACTGAGGATAATATGTACTTAATTACTCCTGGTCACAAAATTCAGCCAAAAGTAAAACATCTAGTTCATAAGCATTCTGTTTATCTTGAAAAAAATTGTGTATATTATCTGCACTCAGACCTTAGTTAATCCCACAAGTCCTGAACAGTAAGTAGTAGAATGCCAGATATAAATCAGGGTATATGGTCTGTACTTCACACAGCTGCATGCCTTTTTGGTTTTAGGTCTATGCTATTTCTTGCTCTACTCATGAAGTTAGATGGCCCTCTGAGATTCTTCTTTGAAGGATAATTCTTCTGTGAAGCTCTTTATGTTGGTGTGAGCTTTTCTTTTTTAATTGTCAGCCATACCTAAACACCTTTCAGTTTGTACCAGGAAAGTGTCACATTTGTGGTCAATTCTGACAACAACATGAGGGAAAGTCTGGGTTCTTTTGTGCATTGTGTAAAGTATTGGATACCTCCTGTTTAGTCATTGGTCCATCACTTGGACCGATATGAATAAGAAGGGACACTTAAAGTTATATTGGCCTGTAGGATTATATTTCAAGTTAAGCGCAGTTGTAGGTTGACTTCTGTATACCCAATTCTGTTTATATAAGAACTGATATAACTTCTGGAAGAAGGAATGCATATTCCTGTATCTTCTATAGACCCCAAATAAAGGCAAATGAATTTCCATGTGAGCTTCTTCATGCCAGTTTACATTACCACATATTTTCCAGTATTTGAGTCATTACTCAGAGACCAGCAGACAAGGGAAAGGACAGAGCTGTCTGAAGTTGAGTTGTTTAACAACTTATTTTTAAACACTACCACCTCATGTTTTAGTTCTGTCTCCAGTCTTGCTGCTAACACTTAGGGATTACTTTGATTTGTGTGAACAACCCTCTGGCCTAACAGGTAAGCAAAAAGTAATCCCCCCATTCCCCCTGAAAGCTGCTATGGTGAGCAGAACAGCATATAGAAAACAACATTTTTTTTAATTTGTATCACATACCTCCAGAATATGCTAGCATTACAAAAGCATATTGCCTGACATGTGGGGAGGATGATCTCTGAAAGCGCTGCGACTAGACACTCAAGCATACATCTCCCTTTCTAAGTCAGTCCTGGCTACCTGTGGAGCTGACTGCAGCAAAAAAGAGAGTTTCTACCCACAACAGTGGTTTCTACATTCAAGGCCCTGTCTTGCACATGCTTGCAGAAGAAATAGAAATACTGTCATTCTAGTTTAATAGTAAAAAAAAAAAAAAAAGAATGTGAAAGTTCAAAGTATTTGGGTTTCAAAGAGTCAGTGACAGTGCTATAAGCACTTTATTACCTTTTTAGAGGTAAGTTTTCTAACCTTAATGCTGGTGTCATAGTAGAGGAACATAAATCCCTGGCCCTGCAGTATTCTTTCTGCTTATGCCACAACAGCAGCACCTCCACTGACTGCTGGAAATGGCTTTTCTGCTACTGCTCCTTCTTGTATTATTCAGAGCAGTTCTTGTAACTCTTCCTTGAGAATGCCTCACCTACTGATGTGGTTATTGTTCACGATATTTATAGTCCTGGGACTTGGAGACCAGGCTAGGCTGTGTTCAGGAGAGGAACAATGTGCCTTTTGCCATTAATTTCAATTGAATTGCACATGGGATTAATTAGCCCATAGGCTGGAGTGGAGAAGCTGTCCAGTTCTAATGCATTTTTGCTTTGTTGAAGGCGATTGATTAATTAGGGATTTGGATGAACAGAAAATCTACAATGCCCTAGAACTGTGCTATGAATTCAGAATGACTTTTCACTGAGTCTCCTAATTTCATAGGTGACTTAACTTTGTTTTTTTCTAGTTGCACATGGAAAGTCTGATGCTGAAATGTATATGGAAGTTTAAATTTCCTCTGCCCCAGGGTGTTGTAACAAAATTGTTCTGTAAAAACCTCTGTCTAGAAAGATCAAAGGAAGCATGTACCAGGTTAGAAATTCTCTATGGAGTTGTCTTTTGCCTTCTCTGTTTCCTAAATACTGACTGTCTTGTTCTGCCCTTGTTCCCAGAATTCATCATGATGGATTCCTAGTAATGTATACCAGAATCACATACTGCAATAACAAAATGACAATGTAATATAAGTGATAACATAGGAACTTTGATGAAAGCTGTGTCTGGTCTCCATAAAGTAACCAAGTCTGGGCAATCCATAGGTATCAGACTTTTGGCAACCACAGTTAAAATGTCAATCAAGAACTCAGCCTCAGTAAGGAGTACAGAATATGCAGCTACCCACTGACAGACACTTTGAAATACAAGGTTGATTGTTTTTCTTTCAGTTTGTTGTGGTTTTGCCTGTAAAAATACAATGGGTGTCATTATTTGTAAAAAAAAAAAAATAAAAAAAAAGATTGCTAAGAGTAATATTTAGTCTGAAATCCTTCAGATTTGTGAGGCTTGCTGCTTTAGAGATGTATGGGGAAGAATGGCTGGCTAACTTCGTAACTTCCAGACTTAAGTGACAATAGGTTCTGTGGTTCTCCTTGGTATAAGAACAAGCTGTCTGATGTTTACTATACTGGAAAAAAAAGAGTATGTTCCTTTTGTTGTAAAGAAAGTTTCTGAGCACATCAGGAGTTCTGCATGTGGAGCCATCACCTTTCTGCTGTGGAAATGGTCTGGACTTGGTGGTTCTTCATCCATGCATCATCTAACATTATTTTTTTTAAACAAATATCGATAGATCTGGTTGAAGTTATCAGGCTGACAGGGTCTACAGATACCAATGGCAAGTGTTTCATAGGGAGATGGGGGCCTCAAAACAGCAGTATGGCTTCTGTGGATTTCACGGTGTTCTTTGTGTTATGTATTTTATATCCAGCTTGTTTTGAGCTTATTTTGCCCATGGGTGTAAGCAGGTGCATATAGCCTCAAATGCACTATGGCTGGAAAAGTAGGCATTTGCTGTTGATGTGATGTGAATACCAGGCAGTTCCTCATACAGCGAGACACCCGAGGACCAGGGTATTGTGTAGTTGGGTGCATTGCCCGCGCCACTCCTTGAACTTGACCTTGAACTGCGTGTGACCCCTCAGCAATTGCTAACGAACTGCTGCCGGCGGTTACAGATGGGGGAAGCTGCTTTCCGTCGCCGCCACGGCAGATTCGAGAGCCGGGGATCCAGCCCTCTGTTAGCTCCATCGGGGGTCAGGGCTTTAGAAAGCCGCTTCCCGCTGTAGCCGGCCGGTCGCCTCGGGTCCCCATGGAAGTGAGGCAGCAAGCGGCGGGAGCTACAAAGCGCCCACCGCTCCCCACCGGCTGACCCCGGCGGAGCGAGGCGGTCTCGGGTCGGTGGGACGGGGCTACCTGCA